GGATGGAGTGAAAGAGTGAGTGCCTGCCTGCGGGAGTCAAACATGAAACATATGGTTTTTGTTTGTGCTCCCGAGGTCCCAGACGCTCTGACACCCACACAGGGACGCACACACACACCCGTACAGTGGATCTATCAGCCGTTTTCCATGCCACAGCCATGCCACAGCAACAGTTGCAACAGTTTTTCCTTTTTGGCGCTGCCTCGTCGCTCCTCCCAGGAATACCCTTTTGCAGAGAGCGAGAGAGAGAGAGAGGGGGGGAAGGATAGCAGAAGGAAGGGCATCTGTCTGCCTGTTTCCATGGACACTGTTGCGAGTATTCCCTCTGTTTGAGGACTGAAACCTTCCTGCTTAGGAGCTCATTATGGAATAAGAGCAATATTTCTGCCTGGGTATCAAAATTCGGTTCGGTCTTGGTTTTCGGTAAAACAACAAAAAAAAAGAAGCTCCTTGACTCGCTCTGGCGTCGACTCATGAATGTTAATTATCCTTGTAGCCTCCCCTTACCCTCACCCTCTGCAGCTACCCCTACCCCTGCGCCTCCTACCAAAACTAATGCGTTGCTTTGCTTTGCTTTCTCCCACTGCCACTGCCACTCTCCCCCTCTCCCCACACCATTTAGTGGGTTCTCGTGCGACAACACATTGTCCTTGTTTCGGGGTCCTCTCCCCCGCACTTTCCCTCCACCATCCCCAAAACACCCCAGGCCCACCCCCAGGCCACCCCCAGCCATCCCCCACCCCACCTTAAGCACAAGCACACGCCATGCTGCTTCCTCCTTGCCGCACTATTAGTTGCTTCCTGACGAGGCTTAATAAAAACTCCGTTGACCTGTGACCTGTGTATGGCAGCAGCATAAAAAGGCATTAAAAGCCGCCAAAGAGGAGCACAACAGAAGAGAACAGAAAGTGGATAGAAGGAAAACGAAAGTAAGAACAGCAGGAGAGAGAGAAGGGGCCTCCAGAGAGGGGCTCCATAGAGTACCCAGCACGGGTAGTCCTTTCGAGTATATTCATACGAGTATATGGCATTCCCATTCATTGTTTCTGCTTCGATTGATGACAGCAGACAGAAGCAGGGAAAAGGAGAGAGCGAACAGAGAGCGAGGGGAACAGGGAGTGGGAGTGGGAGTGGGAGTGGGAGAGGGAGAGAGGATGGAAGACAGGCTGCGGTGGGGGCGGGTTTATTTTGCAAATTGAATTCAATTTGTAAATGCGACTCATGACTCAGTTGATTCCATCCCATCTCTTCCCCTCCCATGCCCCTCCGTCCCCTCCTTTCCAGGCGACTCTTCAGCCTTTGTCGATGGCCCCGCTAAATGGAATATTATTTATGTTGGGGAATGGAAGGCTCTCCATTCTAATGCCAGGACAGTGCCCCCCTTTTCGATCCTGGAATCATATATAATACGATTGTTTCCACAACCTTTGGAGGGAGCTGTGGAGCGATGGTTAGCTGGGAACAAGAAAGGAAAGGATTTTCTGTTCTAGAATGGATACAGAGGATAGAATAGTTTTTGACATACACTTCTGATACGCACCGTCTCCGGGCCCCCCCACAGGATCTCCCAGAGAGGCGTGGAATGTGGCTCAATGGAGCCCCGGCTGTGGCTGCCCGTTAAACGGTTGGCAAATCTTTAACGTGACTTTTTACAGCAATATGCAAATGCCAGATGCTGGTGCACCCCTCCCCACCCCCTCCCCTTGGACGGTTTTCTGTAAAAATCACGCATTACCGATCCCAAGTGCGGCGGAACCATGTTACCCGTTTTATGGCTCTCGAGAGATCTCTCTTTGCAGCCTCTCAGCGGCGCCACACAATGTTGCACGGAAGGGCCGTTTCGTTTGGTTTCGTTCAGCATGTGGCACATTGGCACTGGCAATGCACATTCGTGGTTCGGTCCATGTCCTTGTGAGTTTTAACGCCTCCGGTACCTCCGGCCTCGCCAGAGTCTGCCCCTGGAGGCTGTTGCAAGCCGAGGGTGCGACAACTGCCAACTGCAAACAGTCGTCGACAGTCTTAATTCAATAAACGCCGCACAGCGATTCGCCCATGTGCCCGTGTCCATGACCATGTCCCTGCCTGCCTCACGCTGCATGTGGACACACATGTGCAACATGCGGCAGCCGCAGCAGCAGCAGCAGCAGCAGCAGCAGCAGCAGCCTCAATGTGTTGTTGAGTCTGACTTAACTGCCGCTGCCGCTTGCCGTTGCAGGGGTTTACTTCAGCGATCTTCACCCCAAGCCAAGCCAGAAACCAACTCCAAACGATCCATGGACCACGTGGAAACTTCACTGCACTTCACTTTGGTGTTTTCTTTTCGTGTATATACCGACTGCCCATCGAATGAGAGTGTTCCAAGGGGTATGATGTGTATGTGAGAGAGAAAGAACCCCACAGACAGAACAGTAAGAACTTTCTGATTATGCGCGTCGTGCGGCAACGCCTCTCGGTTGGAAGTTCAATTAAAGAAATGCACTCCAAAGGGTATTCCCTTGGTCTATACATCGCTGCCTCTTGTCTTATGCTGCTGCAAACGCTGCGTAGGTAATTTTCATAAATTTCATTCATTCCCCCCACAAACAAAGGGCGGAAGGAATCTTGTGGATGCAGCAGCACACAGAGTATCTTGTATCTTGTATCTTGTACCCCCATAAGCGTACGGGAATTACAGGGAAAACCATATTTTTAATTGCTTAACGAGAGAGAGAGAGACAGAGTCGAAATTTGAAATTGAAAAATGTCTTTGCGGGAACATCAATTATGCAAATATCCTGAAAAGAAGGAGCTCAAGTAATTATGTGTGTTTCAGAAAAGAAAGGGAGAGTGTCCTCCCCCCCCCCCCCCCTCCCCCCTTCCTGTGTCTAAAGAGTGGCATTAGCATTGCCTAATTACATTTCAATTGCTTGGCTTAAACAGGGCTTTAACCCTCTCCACCTCTCCACCTCTCCCATTTCGTTTCCTTTCGTTTCATAATAATAAAAAAAGGGAATCTCGAATCAATTTTGGGATCGAGCATTGAGTGCAATTTAAATGTGATTAAATGTTGGCTTAGGGACACTCGAATCGGGGGGAGGGAGGGGTAAAGGAGACCCTAATTTCCCACTCTGCCTCCCCTCCTCTCTGATGAATAATCTAATCAATTTTGCCCACGCTTTCGGAGAAAAGTCAAAGCCTGATGCCTCCAGGAGGCATCCTCTCGGCTGCCTGTCATCCTGAATAAATTCCACCTTAACACGTGTGCCACACGGCCAGGGGGCACGGGGACTGGGGACAGGAGACAGGGGCTCTGCTGTGAAAGCATTTCACTGTTTGCATGAATGATAAGTTTTCCCAAACAGAGAGAGAGAGAGAGAGACCAGGACCTCGGGGGAGGAGCAAGATGAGGGTATGGTTAGAAAGACTTTCTCTATTGCTGCCATAGAATTTCACTGGTGAAAACTCTCTCTCTCTCGTGTCTCTCTAATTGCCCCTGACAGTTGGCTGACTTTTCAGCAGAACCCTGATTGTTCCCCCCAAAATAGTCGCCATAACAACATAGTTGCCGCCTGCCGCCTGCCCCCAAAAAACTTATCTGGGAATCTGTCAACCGTTTTTTCACTTTTTTTCCTCACAAAGTTTTCATTTCAATTCTCCCAGTGAAACGATGAAGGATTGCACATATTTAATGCACTTATTCGAGGCCAAGGACAATGGCTAAATGGACTGTCCAGGTAGCCGCGATAATTGAGTAGAACTTTTTCCTTATTCATGACTTTATATATTCCACTCTTCACTCGACTGGACTCGACTTCATTCAATCAGAGACTGACGGATTGGCACAAGGCAGAGCCGCAAAATAGGGAATTCCCCGGGAATAGTACAGAATCAACATACATTACGTGTGCATGACGCTGTTCTGTTCTGTTCTGTTCCCAGATCCCAAAAAAGCGTGCGTGCAGAAATAACACTCGAAAGAGTGGGCCATATGGCATTCAAGCCAAGACATTGATTGAGGTAATCTTTTCTCATCAATCAAATAAATATAGTATCTATGTGAGTGGCTCTGGATCTCTGTATCTGACAGATACACAGACACACTCCTACGCACACAAAAAGTATGAAGTGTGGAGGCGGATTTAATGATTTGCAAATGGAATTTACATGAAGCTCAAAGCTTGGCCTTAACCCCACCCCACCACACCGCCCACTGCACTTGCAGCCAGAAAACATCAAGGAAAAGCCTTTCCTTCCTGGAAAATCCTTCAATTCTTTCAGTCGAATTGTATGTGTTCTGCTTTTTCTTCGAATACGTTTTCTGAATAACCAGAAATGCATGCAAAGGCCACTGCTATTAAGGGAGCTCTTATGGAGAACCTGTAGGAGGATTGCCAGAGGATTCCTCCAAGAAAATATTAATTTTTTCAAGTTTAAGTTTATTTGATAGCTTAAAACTTGTTGAATTTCCCTTTTCAGCGTTTTATACACCCGTGAGACAAATCTTTGGTGGGAAAGGACAACCGGAACCAGGAGGTATCAACAGCAAAAGGCCGGAGACAGGCATCCAGGATAGGAGAGGTTAGCAACAAACGACGGAGATGGCTAAAAGATACACGGAAATTGACGGAAGCTCGCAGAGCAATAAAGAAAAGTGTCCCGCACCCACCCAGAGAGAGAGAGAGAGAGAGAGAGACAGCCATCCACTGGGAGGGGGGGAGAGGGGTGGGGGGGGAGGGTTGGTACAAGTTTTATATAATTTCTTCCCCGCCAAAGGACTTGAGTTATTGCACCACCCCTGCCCGCCCACACGCCCACACACACAATATTTCCGCCTAATGTCTTTATTATGTTCCATTGAGTGTAAATATTTGCCTTGCACACACACACACACACACACACGCACACTCCACTAGCAGTCTGCCGGTCTGCCACAGTTTGGGGCAAGCTTCGTAAAGCGTGGCACGTGCTGGAAGGTTGGATATTGGGGGTGGGGGTGGGGGTGGCTGTGGCTGGCGACTCACCTTAGCGGAAGAAGTATCTGCCTTCAGGCTTTGGCGACAGCCGAGGACCAACAACAGGTACAAAAGATATTTTCACTGCAATGAGAAGAGAAAAGCGGAAAAGCCAAATGAAAATGTAGTCAATTTTTAGCCTGGGGGGGCGTTTTTAAACGCCCAAAGAAGAACAACAAGAAACGCTTGAGTGTCGCACGCGATTTATGACGCGCGCGGTTCAATGCACACGCGTTTTAACACGCGTTAACCTCCTGCAACGCACTGCGTCGCACAGTAAAGCCCCCCTGAAGCCCGGACCCGGACTACTACTGTTCGAACAACTCTTTCAACATATGCGGCATGTGTGTGTGGCATGCCCCCGCCAGCTTGGCAGCAGAGAGAGAGAGGCCGAGCTGTGCTGGAGACAAGTGCTCAAAGCGAGTTTAAAGTTGAAAGGATACCATAAATCTTGTAAGCTGATGCAAAGCGACAGTTGAGGCGAGGCAGGCACCGGATTGAAGCAGCCAGAGGATGGATGGGGCTGCCACAACATCGTCACTCTAAACGGGGCCTGAATGCTCGGCTCTTGGGAGGCCCGTAGAGGCCCCTCTGTAGAGAGAACTGCGTACATATATCTAGTTGATCTATTATTTGTATCACCAAGAAGTTTCTACGTTCGAAAGAACATCGATGAACTTGGTTCCTTATTTATTTTTAGCAAAAGGTTACAGTCAATACAAGAGGCTGCCTTCTTTGCCAGTTCCTTCGGTCTTTGAACTTTCTAAAAACTCACAAAAAACACAAAAAGAAATCATTTCGAAACACTTGAGTGTTTGGATGCTCTTGAACTTTAACCTTAAGTGTGCTTCTATATCTACCGATTACCGAATAAACTCTTTTACCTTTTCCTTTCCAATCTTTTATCTATTCAGACGCACCTCTTTCTGCCTCCTTCTTCTCCTTCAGAAAAGATTCCTTTTTCCTACAGCTGTTTCTGGTTTCCGATTCGCTGTTCCTGCCACTCGGATGTCGCTCAATCGATTGCTTGTTGCATAAATGGTTTTTGAGGAAATCCCCAAACTCCATGAGGCACATTTCCCGACCCACCCCCCACCCCTCACCCTGGACTGGACTCCGAGTCGCGTTTCTGCCTCAAGTGGTTGCATCCTCTGGAGGTTGAGGCAGCTTCCTGGGCAGCAGGAGATCTGGGACCAGCATTCGAGTTTCGAGTGCGGCCAATAGAAGATTATTGAAGGGGGGTGGGGAGGGGGAGGGGGAGGGATATTCACTTGAGCATTACCTCAAATGTATCTCCATCTCTGTATTGCTTTGTAGCTGTATCTTTTTGTGCGTGTGTGTTTGAGCGGAGGGCCTGCAGCCACATTTCACTTTGCTCTCTTTTTCACCTCAAAGGCCCAACAGAAACAGCGGCAGCAGACATCGGCCATAAGGCGGTTCTACGCTCATTCGATGTTGAAACATTCCTCGATCTTTTCTGTGTGCATGTGTGTGTGTGTGTGTGTGTGTGTGTCCCTGTGTGTGATGTGAATATCTGTATATTTGTGCAATGCTTCGTTTGATTTTGGTTTTTTGTTGTTTTTTCTACAATAAAACCAAAAGTCAGAGGCAGTGGCAGTGGCAGTGGCGTTGGTGGTGCCTTAAAAGGGGGGAAAACCCTATGTCAAGGGGGTACTAGATTCCCATATTCCAGCGAGCTCGTAGCGGTGGCGGCAATCCTTAAAGTGTGACCCCCGTTTGCGACACCCCTGGTTCCTGAAGACGCCCAAGAAAGATATTTCCCGTGTACGCAAATGTTATTGACATGGCAGGCAGGAACAGGGCCGGAGGTGGGGCAGTGGCAGTGGCAGTGGCAGGCGTAGGGGCAGGGGCATCGTCAGACCGACGCCCAGACTGACAGGCAGCCAAAGACAGAAGGAAATGGGCAAGAGGCAGGAGGCAGAAGGCAGGAGGCCGAAGGCAAGACATGGCTTGGGCTTGGGGCATGCCACTTCTTCCACTGATGTTACCGTTAAAAGAAATGCAATTAAAATGAATCTCTAGAACCCCTGAAAACGGAAGCAATTAGTAAAACTGAAAGCAGAGAAGGGGCCCGGCCGGGCACGGCCCCGTAGAGATCTTCCATCTCCTTGTAATCCGTGGCAGCACACACACACACTCACGCAGAGGCAAAGGCAGAGAACAGACACAGACACAACGCGTGCTCTATGTGGCATTTGCATTCGGTGGAGATCGTGCCACACTGAAGGAAGGAAGGCAGGAAGGGAGGGAGTGGAGTGGAGGAAGGGAATGCACTGGGGAAGGAGGGGTAGAGCCAATCCTTTGGCCATGGTTGCATCCCGCTGCCCCACTCCCAACATTTGTTATTCTTTGTCACGCCTTTGGGGAGACGACAGCCCCTCTGGAAATCATAATTTCTCAATAATTCCTTTTGTCATTCATGTTTTTGGTTTGGGGTTACACACGGTCGCCGTGGCCCCCTCCCTCTCTCTCTCTCTCTGCACGCAAAAGGTAGAAAGACACAGAAGAGGGGGGTCCCGGGAGAGATGTCTAGAGGTGGACTCCTCTTCCGAGTGCTGCCTTGATTAGTGTCTAAAATCAGGAAAAGGGATCCCGAAAGAATCCCCCAAACAAAGTAGACGTGGACGGGCCTCCTTTTTTTGTCGATGGTCCACCCACCAGAATCTTTGCTGAATCACCAGATGATTGGGGAATGCAATGGCCTCCGAAACCCCCAGAAATTATCCAATATCCAATGTGTGGAAAACCAATAAAGAAAGCAAACATAAAATCTGTATAAACATGGGAATAAACACAGCAGACAGACTTGCAGAAAGAAAACTATGGCTATATCTATATCTCTATCTATCTCTCTCTCTCTCTCTCTCTCGATGTGACTCTGCGGCTACGGCTATATCTGTTCTTGTGTCCGATTTTAGCTGCGGCACGTGCCACTGCCACGCCGCAGAGGATCTATCTTTGCTGCTGGCTGTAAAAATAAATGGCGGGGCCAATAACATTACTCGTATGCGCATATCTTTTCAGCATGAATCGATTTTTGTTGTTTACTTGCACAAAATTGATAATATTTCAAAATAGATCTTCGCCAAGGGGGGGGGGGGGGGGGGGGGCGATGGTTCTGCCTTCAGGTGTTCGTTCTTCATTCACAAAAGTTTAATTTTAAAACCAACACCAAAACAAAAAATGTTAAATTTAGTTAAAAAATCTATCTATAAAAATGTTCAACTTTCATTTTGCCTCGATCTTTAGCTTGTTCCTCGTGACGGCATCGCAACGCATCGTCGCGTCCACAAAATGGCGTCTGTTGACGATCGTTTCCGTTTCAAGCGCATGCGCGAAAATCCGCCAAAAACTCACCTCAGTGATCGCTTTTTCACCTCACTGCTGGCCTGTACTTCTCTCTCTCTCCCGCTCTCTCTCTCTCTCTGTGGATACGTATATCTGTCTCTTTTCTTCGCTCTCTGCCTGTGCCTGCGATCGTGTGTGCTCTGCTGCTGTACGCCATTTGCATTTTCGGTCTAAATATAGACAAAAGTGCTCGCCTCGATCGCCAGAGCATCCTCTGCTGCCCCTCCACACCCCCCCTCCCCTATGATTTACCCTCTTCTTAGCCAGCTACCCTGCTGCCCCCTCCCCCCCGTCCCCCTCTTGCATTCCCATTCCCCCCATTCGTGGCTGTTGTTTTTGTGCTCACGTTACGTGCGGCGCTGCTTGGGTCCCTCTTCCACCTTTCCCCTTCTGCTGCTCTCTCTCTCTCTCTCTCTCTTTCTCGCTCTCAGCAGGAGGGAGGCTGTGTGTTCTGTCCGTGTATTGGTTCGCTGATTAAATTTCAATTTTCATTCTACGAAAAATGCTCTCTTTCTTTTTTTTTTGAAATTGTTCAATCTTTCTACACAAGATTTTGCAATCATCAAAGAGGGGGCATAAAGAGATGGGAGGCTGGTGAAAAGAAGGGGGAAGAATGAGAAAAGGGAGGTGAAGGGGGTGGGGGTAGGACAGGTGCTGCCAAAATGCGTTACGAAAGCGCCTCCCGAAAGTAGAATTGCAAAGGCAACAGAAGACCAGCAGAGCAGAGGGGAAGGCTGGAGGAGGCCGGTAACGGGAAAGTGACACATGCGGCATGCCCCCATCCCCCATCCCCCCCTGCTCTCCTGGCTCCTAGCACGACCTGTGGCGGCTCACCACGCCTCGACTCTACCAGTTGCTGCTGTCCATGTCAGCGTCTGATGTCTGTCGTCGCCAATTGCGCAGCTGCAGATACCGATACAACGGATACAGATACACATATGGACAGATACAACAGATACAGATGTAATCCACAGAGACAGGAGACATAGAGAGAGAGAGCGAGGGAGAGGGAGAGGTAGAGAGTGTCTCGATAGAGCAAGAGGATGTGTTTGTTACACTGACATTTCATATAAACAAAATATATCTCGTGTGTATATCGTATATATCGTGTGCCCACATCTTCCACTCATTCGTTATATATCTTTCGTGTGTGTGTGTAGAATCCGTAATCCCCGTCATAAGAATCACAGAGCACATGGAAATCGTTATACTAGTACATATATGTATATGATCGATATATGATCTATACAGGGTTATGCGATACATATTTTCAATAGCGGATCAGTGGGGATATGCCTGAAATGTCTGAAGAAGAACAAAGATCGGGGGGGGAGAATCATCAATCTTAACTCAAGGAAAAATCGGAATATTGGTAGAATCGTTGGCATATCTTTAACTTCACGATTATCGCAGGGGTAACAGGGTACTATATCTTCTTTACTGATGGATATTCTACAGAACTCGAGTGTTTCGAGATCTCCCTTTTAACCCGTGTTACGACTTTTCCTGACCGAACGAACAGATACAAATTGTATCTTTAGCTTATGTACATATGTATATTCGAAACCCTTGGCTAATTGCAAATATCGGCTTCTGTTTGGGCTTCTTTTGCTTTTACGAATTCTCAGAATACCAAATCGAACAAGACCTACAACAACAGCAGCCCATGCTCTATAAACGCACACATACGCACACAGACACACACACACACACACACACACACACACACATGTATGTATCGGTATCTATATGTTGTATCCCGTGTGGCATAAGCATCTCTCGTCGGATAGCATTCCCTCGCATTGGCTTTCAATTAACGTAGAACATTTTGCGCCAAGGAATTTTCCCCCACAACAATCAGGGGAGGGGGGGGCTGCAAAGCTTTAGGGGAAGGGGGAGATGGGTGCACTGACCAAAAGCATTCATTGTACAGCATAGTAAGACTTCAGGTATTGATTCCTGCCTGCTAATTGCAATGTTTTACTAATAATAAGGAGGAAAAGTACCCGCTGCAGCCGAGGAAAATGCGGGGGAGAGGGTGTGGAAATTTCTGGGAACTTGTACTCCGCGGAATATTCAGGGAATTTCTAATTAAACGAAATTCAAAGCCTTGGGCACCTGCCTGGAAAATATGCATTGTCCCTTGCATTTCCATTTCCATTTCCATGACGATTTCGCTTTCGCTTTACGCTCTATTATTGTACTCGACAGCCGCAATAAAGGAGAATTTAGAGAAGTTTTCCCCTCTCCGGGCACTCTCCCGTCCCTCTTGCTTTCCCCCTTTGGCATTTCTGCAGCAGTTTTCTTTCTTTCTTTTTTGTTTTTTGGCTCCGACGCCGTCTTGGTCCGTCCGTTTTCTGTCATTTCATTTGCGGCTTTAAGTATTTTTGGCTTTGGGCCAAAATGTTTTTTTCATGTCTTGTTGTCGCCATGCCACAGGCACACACACACACAGACACACACACAGACACTCGACGTACTGTTAGTGATTAAGCGTGAAAATATCAGAGATCCCCATCCAAAGCATACCCCCATTCCCCCAGGCACCAGCCATGAGGTACAGAAACCGCAGCAGCCGCAACAAAGCTACAAATTTTCTAGTTTTCTGCAACATTGTCTTTGGATTTTTGTCCTGTAAACTTCAGTTACAGATACAGATACAGATACAGAGATACATGTCAATCTTTAAAAAAAAAAATAAGGTTTAAAATGTGGAAAAGATTTAGAGTGCTGGTCACACAGCGGGGGGGATCGGGGGTCTGGTGGCATGCATTTGACAGCCTCTTTTCCACCCATGTGGAACCCCACCCTGTCTCCCTTTGCCGCCTTTCTCCTCCGCTCTGCCAATTCTGTGGAAAGATTCAAAAGTTTACAGCTTTATAGACTAATCACCTGGATGGGAGGATGAGCAGGATGCGGATTGCACGGCAGTCAACTGTGCCTGCAGTTTTCCTTCGCTTTCGATCGCAGATTACACATTACACAGATGGGCCATTCCAGGGCCTTGCATCCACGAGATAGACGGCTCGTTGCGCTCCTCCGTTTTTCCCCCCTTTTATTGTACGCACATTATGACAATTGACGCGTCTCGTCTGTCGTTTCCACCTGAGGTTTTCCCGTGTCGCTGGCGCTGTCGCTGTCTGTGTCCCGTGACTGTGGCACGATTGTATAACTGAAAATAAATGCAGTCGATGAGTGGAAGATGCGGATAGATGGGAATCACTCATTGCACAATCATTTGCGTATCTATTTATTTGTGTACCTGTGGCATGTGTCGCATGCCCCGCTGCTTAGAGCCTAGGCTTTCGCCAACAGATGTATGCAACAAGTCATCAGAAAGGTGGGGATGGGGGACGGAGACGGGGATGGAAAGACGACAGTCACTTGCAGGATTCTGCACTTACTGACGTTGTGCGGGGGAAAATGTGGATGTATCTCTGTATCTGTATCTCTCTTTTTCTTTCTCTGTGTGCTGGGGTGTAGAAATGCGTGGGTGGCTAATGAAATGCTTCAACGAACAACAAGCAACATCCACAACCAAACCATCCCCCCATCCCATCCCATCCCATCCCATCCCATAGACTTGATCAGCTTTCCTACGTATTGGTGTATTGTCTGTGTGTTGCCTGTGCCTGTGGTGCTGCCTTTTGTTGTGTTGTTGCCATGGCAGTGGGGTTGCCTCCAAATGAAATGAATGGCTGCCTCGTGTGTATCCAGATTAAACAAGAGGAGAGCGTGTGTGTGCCCCCTAGAAAATCCACCTCTTTTGTACCCTGCTCCACCACAAAACACAAGACTCTACAAAAATGCGGTAACTTTTGCAGAGATTTCTCAGACATTCTCAGAGTTATTCTCTTAGGGGATGAGCCGGAAGGTATAAAACTTTTCTTGCTTTTGGTTAATTTCTAGGTAGATCTCCTGTAGGGCATTGCCCATTCCTCAATGCTCAAGTCGCAGAAGAAAAGCGCCCTGCAGTTGTCTCTCATAAATTTCCATCGCCCCCAAACAAAATCACGTTCTTTGCCTCCTCTCCTCTCTTCTCCTCTCTTTCTGCTGCTGCTACCTCTGTGGCTGCTCTCTTCCTCTGCCCCTCTCTATCGATGACATACATCTTTGTCTCTATATCTCAGAACATTCCCTATATCTAAACGCCCACGCGTCATGTGCCTCAATGTGCCTCATAACTGATGTATTTATTATTTTTTGGTTTTTGTTTTTTTGCTTGTTTTGTGTCCGAATTTCCTATTTAATTATTAATGTAAATATTTCCAAAAACATAATCGTAATTGGGGCTCGTAATCCTGTTATTGTTATTGTTATTTTGTTGTTGAAAATTTTCTTAATTTTTCGTGCAGTTTTCAACTTGTTCGCGTTTTAGCAACACTCGTGTATTGGCTATTGTTGGCTTTTGGCCAACGTCTACAATTTTGGCGTAAATAAACAACATTTTGTTGCAATTGAAAAACAAAACAAATGTGAATATATGTAGGATATATATGCCCATGTATATGATTAGGGGAAAACCGAATCTTTGGACACCCTGGAAACTCAAAAAGGGGGAAAATCCGTTTGATAGCAAAAAGTTACGAAAATTGTAATTACAAAACCAAAGGAAAATGGCCGATTTGTGTATACTTTTTGCGTAGAACGTGATCTCTGCTGATTAGAATTTTGAGGCATACCCCAATGGGAGGCATGAAGTCAGAGAATATGGGAAAAAAAGAGACGTTTATGCACAAAAAAGCAAAAGGAAAAAAGGGGGACACGAGAAATATTTTTAGATCGGAATGGAAAGTGGGAGCCAGAGGCAGAGTTAGAGCCAGACCCAGACGGCATATTAAATTTCCGAACAGAAACGTAAATTTTTCGAGAGCTCCGACATACCCCACCCTCTACACACTCCTCTATCCACACTGGAGAGCTTCCTCTGGTGCTTAAACTTAATCCTACCCCTAGGGCAAATGCTTTCACCGTTTTTCTAGGCCCCTAGGCCGATAAGGTGATAAGCTGATAAGTGATAAACTTTTCCAATGCCAAGGCGGGAAAATCGTTTTCTTTTGTCTTACATTCTCTTGGTGGCTCCCTCTGTGGGCTGTATGGGCAAGCTGGTGATCGTGAACGCGCCATCTGTTGCACATGTCCACATCTGGCGGCCAAGCTTTCCTTAGCCACATGTTGCTAACGATAGCTGTTGTTTTTGTTGCTGGGATGATGTTTTTGATGTTTTTTTTTTATTTCGTTTAAAATCTCACATAAAAACAGATGTTTTTTCTGTTTATTTTTGGAAATTCAAATGACTTTTGATAGAGAAAACTGCACTTTTCTGCACTGCACTTCAACAGGGACACTTTATGGATTTTGTGGGATTTTAGGGATATTTTCTGCACAGCACTTGCACTTTTTTCACTTTCTGATGGATCGATCGATTCCCGAAAGCCACCGTTTGAGTGGCAGAAGCGTGGCGATTGAATTGAATTAAAATGAATTGAATTGAGGATTGAACGAGAATGAAAAATATTGTGTACCAGAAACGTGTGGTGTGTGTATATAGCCTTTCCTACACTTCACTTTTACTGGCAGAAGAAGCGGCAGATGAACAAAATCGCATATACAAAAACAACGAGGAGGAGAATGTATAATTATAAATAAATGTTCTATAAAAAACGCTTTTTGTTTCTTCTGCCTCTGTTCCGTTTCGCTCGGATCTTTTCAGATCTGTTCGGTGTTTTGAGATCTGTTTCTGTTTCTGTTTCAGTTTCGGTTTCCGTTTTCTTTTCTATCTAGTTCGCGTTTTGTTTGTTTGTTCAATTTCATTTTTGGTTTTGAGCCATTTTTATATTTTGAGGTAACGCCAAAATAGAAATCATCCCATCCCGAAACCCTGAAAGGAAAGGCCACAGAAATCAGCTTCTGGGGTATTCCCCGCCACTCAAATTCCCAATCTCTGAATCTCTTTTTGATGAGCATTCGAGAGTTAGGCGTCCCCTCCCCCCCGCCCCAAAAGAGCTCTTCCAAAGCACTTTAATGCCATTTTCATAGAATCCGGTGAGTGGCGGTGTATCTATGTGTCTGTGGGCTGTTTGTGTGTGTGCACAAAGGATTTCTTGCGGCTTTTTGCACTTTGCGAGGCAGAGAGCCAGAGAAGTTGGCCATTTAATGTTGTTTTTTGCCAGAAGAAGAGGACCAAGGCTAAGGGAAGCTAATCAGATTATACGGGGATCATATGAAGCGCACCCGAGCATAAGGCGTGGCGTTTAAATGGTAAAATCCAGACTAAAGCAATTTTAATATGATATGAATTCACAAAATCCACACAGAATCAATCATCTTTGATTGTGTACCATTCCAATCGATTTCCATTCATCGATTGGTTATGTTATCAATCGATATATTTGTTAACATTTTTATCTCTCCAATCACTTCAATCACAATCTCACACACACACACACGAACACTGATCGGAGCATCGATAGGCATACTTAGAGGTGGGTCGATGTGCCAATAGTGATGGCAATAATTAACGCGGGGACTCCTCGATGGACATGCGATGCGTCGCATGTGATTGCCCGACGACTGAGGCGAAGCGATGCGATCCGCTAATAAACCTCTTAATTCTTAATTCTTAATTCTGACCGATCGCTCGAAAATAAATCGAAACACAGATGCACACACACACACAGGGATGGGGAAAATAAACAGAGATACAGATACAGATACAGATACACGACAGTCCATCCCGCACACTGAGAAATATATTTTAAAATTGTATTATTTTTGGGTTTGTGGTTTTCGCTTTTGTTATTGTACAAGTATTTTCGGTCGCCTTTTCTGATATATACTTCTCCGATTCCGAATCCGCTTTTGCCTTTGCCTTTGCCTTTGCCATTGCCTTTGCTCTGTATATCCGCATCTCTGCATCTTTTGTGCTGTATCTTTTGCGTTGTTGCTTTGACTAGCGATCTCCTTCGACTAAAAGAAAGGAAACTTCTGAGCATCTGTTTTTGGGGCAGCCGCTGGCTGCTGGGCTGTATTGGAAATGTAAGTGCGATGATTTTTAAATAAATTCTCACTTATTTTTATAAACTCGCGGCCAAGGGCCGCACACCCCACACAACCCCCACGGCCCATGCCACACCCCTGCCAGATCGAAGAACATATTTATACATGCATTCACATACGATACACATTTATGCTTATGATCCCTCACTATTATCGCTAATTTCACGCGCCTCAAGGGAGGGCAAGGAGCGGAGGGGACAGGGGACAGGGGAAGTTCAGTTAAAATTAGCACTGAAACTGAAAACATCAATATTTGTACATTTCATTCCACCAAAGTGCATTCCATTCCATGGAAATTCCACACAAAACAAGGAGTTATTTTTAAACAGCAATGCTCTCTCCCACGCGGTGAAATGCGTTTCGTTTCTTGCCAAAATGTCTCGATATTGCGGAAATCCTTAGACCGTTCGGCATTCGAGAAGAACGAAAAGATTGCAACCTCCACGGGTCTCCCGTTTTGCTGGTAACCTTTTCCAAATCACATATCCCAAGGAGGGTGGCCAAAAATCTATTTCCATCATCCATTTGCGTACATTCGCATAATTGTTCTTGGAATTTTACGCAATTTAGGCCTGCCGGAAGAAAGAACCCGCTTTTTTTCTTCTTATATAAACCACATTGTATTTATATTATTTGTGTCACGTGTCGAAGCCAGCCGCAGTCACTCTGTGTTCGCCCTCAAGTAGGCCACACTTTTTGATGGGAGACCTTTGAAGGGATTCAAAGGTGGAGATTACCCGTTTAGTGGAATAACCAAAGCAATTGGAGAGGATCGAAAACATGCCTCAGACGAAGCCTCTTCTATTCCTGGCAACGCTCTTACTCAGGGAAATGCGCTTCTAATCGTGGGAACACTTTTGCCATTCAGGAAAATACTCTTCTATTCGTGGGAACACTCGTTTATTCAGAGAACACTTTTATTACTCGGAACCATCTCCTCTGGCCAGGAAAATCGGGAATGCCAGGAAGCGGCTGGCTGCCATTACTGTGGCCAATGAAGCGAGTTCCTAGTCAGCGAGGTGGTACCCCAATACCTTGACACACTACTTCCACAGAGATACACACACACACACACACCTGGGCCTGTGTGGCCTGCGTTTACTGTCGGGAGGG